GCAATGCGGAGGTTAGGCGCCGAGTTTTAAGTAACATTGGAACAAGTGGTCGACCTCCATAGACTACTCATTATATTTGTTATCCCAGTTTAGATCAACTCTCTATCTTCTGAAGTTCTTTCGTATTGCGAAGCTCTGAATAAATACATACACATGCGCCTAGGTCAATCCATGTGTACATGATCAAACATATCCAATTATTTGCCGGGATCGAACCAAACAAGTTTAATGTAACCCAGGAGACCAACGTGTACTTGTGAGACGTTATATAATTGACAAATAAACAAACACAAAAGTGTACCCGAATTTCAATATTGTTTAATGCCGAACCTGTAAGACATTTATTTCTGTGTAACCCCGGTGGTATATAAAATGGTAATGGTGGTGGTGAACGAATAGATATCTGTAATTTCATGAGAGCAAGAAGAAGCATCATGATCACAGGATGTGTTGAATTCAACTATTTCGTGGCAATCTCATCAGCTGTGTACATACATTCAGATCACGTTTGGTTAAAAGAGTGATGCTTCTTCTTGCTCTCATGAAATTGTTAAAGGGAACTGGTTGCATGAGATATCTGTAAGTTGTAAGAATATGTCAAGTCAAATACAAATGAAGTCCAAAGCCGAACAACCAAATCTTTCCTGCATGTTTGGGTACGTGTGTCCAATTAGATCTGGCACGGTAGATTTTTTATTCACTTTAAATTGACGGTTGCGTGTGATTATTAGTATGGTGTATGTGTGCGTGATTTTTAGTGAACAAGTCAAGGTAGATTTCACATTCACACAGTTCAGTGAACTGCGCACTCAGGAAGCATTGGACACGAGTAAAGCCCATCCGTTGGATCGTCCGGGGTTTGAACTCCGAACCCATCGCATAGGGCGGCGTCGAATCACCAGTCCAACATTGTTTATACTTCGTCCTTAATGATAGCCAGTCGGATAATTTGGTGTGTGCGGTAGACAATAGACACACAATTTCGATGGTGGTGGTGAGGTTCCAGAGTTTGAACCCCATGGGGGGCAGGATGTGCACATTTGATGAGCTCTGATTAAAACGAAACCCTATTCTAGTGCCTTCTGGGTGAATGATGCACTGGATGAATTGAGGGTTACGCGTGGAGGCGAAGTACAAAGGCTAGTAAGATAACGTCTGCATTATTTATCACACACTAAGCAGTCAAAAGTTCAATGCGAGCAAATGAAATCAGTCAAGAGACATCGTGATTGGAAGGAAAGTGTACTGAAATTAAGCAACAAGTATAAAATACAATTGGCATAATATGGCAACCATAACAAAACATGTAACGATACATACATACCACCAAAGATGTCGCATCGCACTCACCTACTGTTTGCACGACTAATCACCTCTTCTTCATCTTCGAATTGGAGCAGCGTGATTACTGGTCCGAAAATCTCCTCTCGTACCGCCTTCATCCGATCGTGACAATTGGTCAGGATACACGGTAGCAAGAAATTACCCTGAGCGAGATTCGAGCCCTCGGGAAACTGGGGTTTTGTGCCACCATACAACTGTATGGCACCCTCGACAACGGCACTGGAAATATAACCGCAGACTTTGTGCATATGTTCCGGTGTGATCAGTGCACCCATTGACGTGTCCGATTGGAATGGATCGCCTAATTTCAAGCGTTGCACGGAACTGAGTAACCTTTTGGTAAACGCATCGTAGATGGAGCTGAACAAATGGAATTTTAGATGCCTTGACTTTACGGTGAACAGATAAATATAGTGTATAAGAACAGCGAATAGTGAAAAGAGTCCGAACTGCAATATGCTCATCAAATGGACTCACAAACACATGATCAGTTTCTAGAGGTAATCACCATAAGTCACAACATAAACGTGGAATCTAGTATACGTCAGCTGGTATAACCCAGAATAACGATCATGGCATACTCATGGATAAATGAACGTCCGAATTAACAATAAAACTGTTAAACAATGACAGTGGATACGCAAATCACTTCTGAAAGTAAAAGACCCCGTTAGAAATATGGCTTACTCCGGAGTAAACTGTGGTATTCTTTCACATGCTCTATCATTGTATACAATGTGATGGTGAACGACAGGCCAGAAAACCTCTCAATCATAGGATGGCAATGTTTGATTGGGTAATGCAACAGCTTGGTTTATAGCAGACGGACCAAATGATACTATAATAGGAGAATAGTGGTGTGGAGACAAGCAACGACCAAACAATTCATCATTAAAACGGGAACCAAAGTTTGCCGCTTTCAGACTGATGCGTGGAGAAAGGGGCCAATCATTTAGGTGATAAAGCAGAGAAGGGGGAATGGAATTGCGTTTCATGACCTTGCGGTTACACTCTGAATTTTGTGTCGGTCACACAGATCTATTTTTTCATGTAGAACCACTTTGTTTTACCTTTTACATTTCCATTTATTTCCCTGACATGAGATGCTTGGCAGGTATCGGAAAAGTTACCCTCAGTATCTTTCACTGCACAGTCATTTCAGGTTGCACTTCACATCAGGGATGATCGGACAGTTAGATCAAATTGAACCAAAGCCGGTGCACGAAAGTGCATGGTCAATGGCTGTTCAAACTGAACAACTATTGAGATTGCCAATCAGGAAAAAGACTAAAAATTGATGTGTATCAGTTAGTAGAACAGTTGATAGGATCGATGTGAGCGTACAGCGGGGGTGGGGTGGGGAATATAACAATGAGCAGGACGGAACACGAGGAAAACGCGTCTACTTATGACGTATCTGTCCAGACTTACTCACTCACTTGTGTACAAATACACGCGAGGCGTTCGAACACACCTGTCCCTGAGTGTAGAAATTTGCCATTAAAGTACCTTTAACAGCCTCGTCCAGGTCAGCATCAGACATAATGATCAGCGCAGATTTCCCGCCCAATTCAACCGTGCCGGGTATGATTCTGTGCGCTGCAGCACGCAGAACAGCCTGACCGCCAGTCACACTACCTGTACGTTAAAAAAACCCACATAAATTGATAGGAAGAGAGAGGGAAGGGGGATAAACCACGCAGGTCAGACAAAAAACAGTTTTTGTCCAGAGCCAATGAACTGTGCCACAATGACACTATCGCATATGTGAGTGCACTGAACTGTAGGCATATAAGCTTCAACACAAGTTATACAAATACAGACCAACCATTGATCAACTTTTAACCTGATACTCGCGCGGTTTTAAACTGTCTACTATGAATATAACTGGAATATGGATAGCCATAGAATGCATCGCCAATCGCTGGGTTACTGGTCTTACAGTTCGAATATGTCAAGCGTTAATTTTACAAGCATCACTTCCAAACAAACAAAGTTCAATCAAAATCGATTCATTCCTACTGGAGAGAGAGTAGAAAGAAGCAGTCAGATAGGAGAGGGGGGGCGGAGGCGGTTGCATCACACTCACCAGTAAACGAAACTTTAGAAATTCCCTCGTGATTGATCAGAGCCTGACCCACATCGGGTCCGCCTAAGATCACTGAGAACAAATGCTTCGGGCAGCCGGCTTTGATAAACAGGTCGGCTAAACGCGTAGACGTCAACGGAGTTAACGGGGAAGGTTTGAAAACCATCGCATTTCCGGCCGCTAAGGCTGGTGCAGACTTCCATACAGCCATCTACATGGGGTGGTGATATAGAGGGAGAATAGACTCAGTCTCGATGCCATGCATGACGTTAGTTCTTAAGTTGTCGTTGATTGAGATAAAGAAATGTCAGGAGTAAAAGTTTTTCCAAAGTGCCTCGTGGACTGATCTGAACCTTCGGAACCAAAAAATGCAGCCGTTGTAATTTTCACGTAGGAGAACTGCATAAATCACCGAGGAATAAGTTTGATCCCAAGTGTCATCAAAATGTTAACCTTTTTTATACTTCGTCGTCCGGCGCCTTTATGTGATACAATTCGACCTGGTTGCAGATAAACTGATCACATCTACACATTGCTTTGAATCCCCGGTTCATGTTCCACTACTCATCACCGACCGACAATCAGATGCTGCTTGATTGGAAGGAAATGTTTGCTTCAGATGATCGTGAGGCATTTACCGATTTCTCTTGAAAAGAAACACAGGAAGTGCGTTCACATACTAAGGTCGCTGATGAAATAAACAGGTCATTCTTCAGGGGTGCTTTCTATTTAGTTGAAAAGATAATGTAGGACGAACTGGGTCATTTCTAAAATGCTGATATTGAATGGGAATCTGGAAAAAAGTTGTACAATGCGGAGTACATTGACGAGGTTATTATCTATTTATTCCAATTTACGGAGGATGCTTAGGTGTATTGGACAAACTAACAAGGTATGATGCTCCATTTGAAATGTATTTTGCACCTTTAAACTGTAATGCTCTTGCGGGGCTGAATGTCGATCATCCCTGCCCTGAAGCTCGATTATTAGGATTTGATTATGAGCAAAGAGCTACAGTAGCACAATCAAAGGAGTGACCGCGAGCATGTCCAAAGCTCGAGCGGAGTACGCCTCATTGCAACAGCTTCAACATCGATATGCAGTTTCACTGGGCCTAAATAGAGTAAGCAGGGTGTTGAATACGCGCCTGCTGCTTAAATGTGTACGTTCTGTCAATCTGTGCATCGTTAATTTGCTCGTTCCACAGATGTTATCCGTTGATATTTAGTCAGATCGATCAGCCTCACGCGCTTGCCCGTGCCAATACGGCCGGTCGACATGGGCTCAATCCTGATTGGCTGTTAGTTCTATTGCTGCTTTTTGACTATACGTTCGACAAGATTTATTGTAAATGAGTCATAATAAACCTATTCTAACGTGCGTACGATTGTTCTACTTTGCTAGCGGGCTACGGGTCCGAGACTGCACAGTAATACATGGTGCGGGAACAGCATTTCTCTCCTGTGAAGTGATGACGTAGGATGACAACGAAAATTGCGATGCTGCAAAATTACCAATTTGTAAACGAGAACACGCTCACCGCTCGTGAAAAAATACTTTACCTGAAAAGGAAAATTCCATGCTCCAATACCGGCACATACACCAAACGGTTCCCGACGAGTGTAGTAAAAGCTGTATGTATATGGTAAATGAGGAGAAAGCGTAAGGTCACGTATGACAGTTGTGGAACAATAAATACAGCTCACAAAGGAAATTGGTGAATATTTTACCCGGAGCTAAGAAGCAAGGTTTATCAGCGTTCAAACTAATCTCTACGGAGCACTGTGTGGCTAACAGTCCAATCAGATAAGCGGCACTATCACTTCAAGCAAAATGTGGTACTGCAAAGAAGGAGAAGGATAGTTGTTGCCGTGAGTTGAGGATGCGTGGTGCAGAAACGAACAGCGATAAAAAAAATGCTAAACGGAATAGGATTGATAAACATGGCAGACGAACTGCTCCCACGCGGAACAGGGAGCAGTAGTTCAGGGTAAATCCAAAGGCATATGCATGAAATAATATTCACAGTAAACAGTACAATCAGTGGGAGGATTCAGAAAATACCCGATACAGTGATCTTAATCACGATACCAAAGGTGCCAAACTATTCCAACTTTCACCATCAAAACATGCAGAGATTTGCAATCCATATGAGATATGAGATAAAAAATGGCTGGCATAGAATTCAAGCCCTCCCACCTGTTAGTTCAATCAGTTTCTGTCGTAACTCGACTGTGATTGGATTTACTGCGCCTATCGCATCGATCAAGTGACTAAACGTGAATCAGATGGAAAAGCAAATTATGCAGTGAACAGCAAGGTGTAGGGGGCGGGGGGGGGTGGTGGAGATGCAGAAAACAAAAATCAATCAAATAAGCCATACTTAACGGAATGAGTGTTCTTCGCTAAATACACGGAATCAGTCAACTTGCTTTCGCACAATACGCCGTATATTTTCTGCAGAAAAAAGTGACGATACCCGGACACAGAAGCGAATCGGAATGAACTGAACTCACGTGCCGGGATTCGGAGGAACGGGAACGTGAGATCCGGACAATGTGGGAATGAAACCGGCAAACAAGTCGAACGAATCCGCGCAGGCATCGATATCAGCTTTGGCTTCCCATAAGGGTTTGCCCGTGTCCAGCACTTCCAATTCGGCCAACCATGCAGCTTCATCACGGACTAAGGAGGCCACGGCACGTAACAACTGAAT